CCTAACTGTGAAATAATCTACGTAGTGTATTTACGTAGTGCACTTGCGTAGTGTATTCGCGTAGTGAATATACGTAATGTATTTACGTCGTGTATTTGCGTAGTGTACTCGCGTATCGTAATTTACTCAATGCGTTTGCGTAGTGTTTTCGGGTAGTGTGTTGGGCCAATGTGTTGTCTTGGTGTAGTGTGTTGGCGTAGAACTCCTGCGTGGTGTATTTGCGTAGTCATTTCGCATCTGGTATTAGCAACGCCGTTTGGCGTGCAAGAATTGCGCGGGAAATCCCACCAGCCCTCTGGGCGTCGGTGGTTTAGGGCGTTTCCTCTTCCACCCCTCCCTCTTCCCCTTCGGGGAGGGGTTTACCCCTCCCCCTACCCCCTCCCCACTGACCTGGACAGGAGGGGCGGGGAGCGGTCAGAGCGTCCAAAACGGCCTCGGCGAGGAAGCCAAAATCATTGATTTTAATATGGTTTGGGCCCCATTTTGGCCTTCTGAGGGGGCAGCGCTAATTAACGCTCCCCTCTTCTTTGATCGATTTCCTCCACGATGGCCGCAAGAGGCCCCCAGGATGCCCCAAGAGGCCGCAGGATGGCCCCAAGATGGCCCCAAGAGGCCCCCCAAGAGGCCCCCAGGAGGCCCCCAAAGGCCCCAAGATGGCCCCAAGAGGCCCCAAGAGGCCCCCAGGAGGCCCCAAAGAGGATCCCGAACGGCCCACAGAGGCCCCCCCGAGGCACCCAAGACGCCGAAAAGCCCCTCAGGACGACCCTCTACTCGCCTGGGCGTCGTTTCTGGACGGGCTGGTGGGGATACGCGAAGCGTCTAGAATTTGCGTAGTACATTTCGCGGAATGCCTTGCGCTGCGTGGAGTTAGCTTTCCGCGCAATGTTGCCGCTGGCGTGCGGCGCTTGCGTGGAATGTTTGCGCAATGTATTTTGCGGATTGCATTTTCCGGGGTGGAGTTAGCTTTCCACGTAATGTTGTCGCGTAGCATTGTCGCGTCATGCGTTTCCGTGGTCGACGCGCAATCTCGGGAAGGGAATCAGAACTGCGAGGCCTGGGGGCGCTTCCGAGTCCCTCGATCGGGCGATGGGCAATGGCAATGCTGGGTATGTCCGCGGCGACGCTACTGCGCTGGGGGCCGCGTCGTGCCCCCCTGCGCAGTGCCGCGCCGCGCTCGGACGTGGTAAGGCACGCGCCATGTACTGTGTTTGCATCGAGTATTTGCGTAGTGTATGTGCGCAATGTTTTTGCGAGGGGTGCATTGGCGCAGTGTACTTGCGCGGCGCGCTCGTGTGGTACACTTGCGCAGCGTACTTGCGCAGTGCCATCTACGCAGCGCGTTCTACGCCGTGCTTTTGCACATTATGTTGGCGCAGAGTGTTGGCGAACAGCGTTGCCGTAGTGCTCCTGCGCGGTGTATTTGCGTAGTGTTTTCGCGTGCGATATGAGCGTCGCCGCTTGGCGCTCAAAGCTCGCGCGGAATATTTGCGCAGAATGTATTTCGCGGAAAGCCTGGCGCCGCGTGGAGCGAACCTCCCGCGGGATGTCGTCGCGAAGTGTTTCCGCGCCACGCGTTTCCGCGGTCGACCCGCAAGCTCGGGCAGGGAATCAGGGCCGCGAGGCCTGGGGGCGCTGCCAAGTCCCTCGATCGGGCGATGGGCAGTGGCAATGCCGGAGAGGCCCGTGGAGACGGTGCCGCGCCGGGGGCTGCGACGCGCCCCCCTGCGCTGCGCCGCGCCGCGCTTGGACGCGGCAGGGGGCGCGCCGCGTAGTGTTTTTGCGTGGTGTAGATGCGTTGTATATTTACGCTGTGTAGTTACGTGCTGGAGGGCGGGGGGTTCTGGGGCGGCGGCCCGGGGCCCGCGCCTCGGCGGCATCTTGCGCTCTCGCCTCGGCGCCGCGAGCATTTATTCCAGCGTGGCGTTCTCGCCTCGGCGCCGAGCATATTTTGTTTGGCGCCATCTTGATGCCGATTGGAGCCTCGTTGGGACTGCGGAGATCGGCGGGGCCTGCGCGCGGCGTCCGCAGTCTCCGTCGGGGTCGGCAGGGCCTGCGCGCGGCGTCCGCCGCCTGCGAGGATTCCCCAATCCATATTCCTTAGTGCGGATTTCATATTCCACATTCCGTCAAACGAATTCCGCAGTGCAGGTTCCTTTGTAAATATTCCCTCAGAGAGAAATCTTAATACATATTCTTGAATCGAATTTCCTTGGTAAAGATTCCGAAATCAAGATTCGTTAAGTATTATTACTGAAGATTCCTTTCTAATGTTTCCTCACTGGGGATTCCTTAGGACAGATTTCTCAATGAAAACTCCTTATGACGGACTCCTTAGCACGGATTCTTGAAGAAGGATTCCTTCATGCAGATTCCTTAATGAGGATTCCTTCTCATAGAGATTACCAAGTACATTCCCATGCCAGATATTCATTAAGAATGATGATTCCTTAGTCGGAATTCCCTGTTAAGGATTCCTCAGTACGAATTTCTTGATACATAATCCTTACTGAGAATTCCTTCGTAAGGATTCAGAAATACATGTTCCCCAATCAGAGCCTGCCTCTGTAAGGGTCCTAACGGATTCATATGGTTAGGCGAGATGGGCCGCCGATGTCGGTGGCCGGCCCGGGTGCTCGGGTGCCCGGGGGGGCCCGGGTGCTCTATCGCCCTATAGCCGTATAGCCACATAACTCTATAGTCCAATAGGCCAATCGCCCAATAGCAATCTCGCCGAATCGCCGAATAGCTGAATGGCAGAATAGCCGAATATCTGAATAGCCGTATGGCCGAATAGCGAAGTAGCCGAAAAACAAAAAAACAGCAGCCAAAACCGAATCGCCGAATGGCCCATATAGCCCTACAGGCCTGTAACTTTAGCCCTATAGCCCTATGGCCCAATAGCCAGTAACACATTATGATTGGGCTTTTCCCCGGTATCATTCCGTAATGCAGATCCCTGAGCAAGGATCCCATCATGTATATTCCTTACTACGGACTCCTGAGTAAGGACTCCATCGCGTGGTTTCCTTGGCAAAGAGTCCTCGCTGAGGATTCCTGAATGGGAATTCCTGAGTGAGGGCTCCTGAGCGAAGATACCTTCAGAGAGAGTCCTCGATGCATATTCCTTAGGGAAGACTGCTTAATCCAGACTCCTGAGTCAATATTCCGTGATAGAGACTCCTCACGCAGGCTTCCGACTGCAGATTATTGATGCAGGTTCCTTACTGCTGTCCTTAGTGCATTTTCCTTAGTAGCGGTTCTTTAATACAGATTCTACGCATTCCGGAATAAGGGTTCCGCAATAATCCTTCGTGCATATTCCGACCAGAAGTTCCTTGGCACATGCTCTTTAATCCATATTCCCTACTGGAGACTCCTCAGTGCATGTTCTGAGTAAAGGCGCCTTACTAGAAATTCCTCGATCAAGATTCCGCGCTGAGGACTCCTGGGTCACGGTTCCTGTTTGATGATTCCTCGATGAAGATTCCCTGCGAAGGATTCCTTCGAACCGATTCCTTACCGAGTATTCCTCAGTCACGATTCCTGATAAAGACGCTTCCATGAAGATTCCGCACGGAGGATTCCCTTGGACAGATTCCTTACAACACATTTCTTCTTTTTTGAAAAATCATCATACACCAACCTTACTGAGGATTCCTGAGTGAGGATTCTTCATTCAGAGTTCCTCAGTGGTGGTTCTTCAAACAGGCGTCCTTAATCAAGATATATTAGCATGGGTTCTTCACTGCCAGGCATTGCCTACCGATGCTGGGCTAAGGCAAGAGCAGGACCACTCATTGCCCCCTTACGATGGACTGCTCGATGCCAAGCATTACCTACCGATGCCAGGCCATGGCAAGAGCAAGGCCACTCATTGCCGAGCGCCGCCAAACGCGACTAATCAGTGCAGGCCAATGCCAATCGCAACCGACCAATGCCAATCACCTCGAACTCGTGCCAAGCAGTGCCAAGCATGACCGCGCAAGTCCAAGCAGCGCCGAGCACGGCCAACCAACGCCAATCACGACCATCCGATGCCGATCATTACCTGCCGATGCCAGGCAGTGGCAGGAGCAGAACCACGCATTGCCGGGCGCCGCCGTACGTGACCAACCAACGCCAAGCAATGCCAACCAAGTCTATTCAATGCCATGCGCGACCGAGCAACGCCCAGCAGAAGCAACCAATGCCACGCAATGCCGAGCGCGATTGCTCAATGCCGCGCGCGACCGAGCAATGCCTGGCGCGATTGCTCCAAGCCGCGCGCTACCAAGCGCTGCCAAGCAATGGCGAGGTCGACCATTCTGCCACGCGCAACCGCGCAAGGCCGAGCAATGCCAAGCGCGCGTAACCGATGCGAAGCAACGCCGAGCGCGACCATTCAACGCCAAACGCAACCGCGCAGCGCCAAGCGCAACCAACCAGTGCCGCGCAGGGCCACTCGATGGCAAGCAGCTCCAAGCGAGGCCCGCCGATGCCGTGCGACGCCTCGCCCACCGGCGCAGGGGCGCCCCGCGAGCGCCGGGGCATCTCCGAAATGTTCGAAGCATCGTGCAGGGGTGTTCTTCCGCGGGGGCCACCAATCTGAAGCGCGCGCCGCCGGGGCCCCCGCGCGCGCGCCGCCGTCGACGAACGAAGGAGAAACGCGAGCGGCGGGCAAAGCGGGGGGGCCCTGGGAGCCTAAGGGGCGCCATGGGGCATCGGGGGCGGCGGCGGCGAGGCGGGCCCTCAAAACCGGCGGCCGCGGTCTCGGGGGGAAGGGGGGGGGGGGCGCCCCGGGCCCCCCCCCATCGTCGCTCCTCCCCTCCCAACAGGCAGCGCGGGA